AAGTGATATTATATTGATCTCCCTCTTATTTATTGCCTTCCTTTCACCCCAATTCATACCTGTCCAGTGCTGATGGAGCCCTGGTGGCATAGTACTTATTCATTGGCCTGTGAGGTCAGCAGTTCAAAGCCACCGGATGCTCTATAGGAGAAAGCTGTGGCTTTCTACTCCCCTACAAAGTTACCGCCTCAGAAACACACCAGGGTAGTTCTACTATGTTCTCTAGGGTCCCTGTCAATCAGCTTTGACTCAACAGCAATGAGTTTAGTGTCTTTGGAGCGCTGTTGGATAAGCACTGAAAAGTCAGCGGACTAAACCCACCAGGCTCTCCATGAGGCTCTCTGTTCCCGTAAAGATTTACAGCCTCAGAAACACTGTCCAGGATTGGCAGGAGTCAGAATTACCTCGGTGGTGTTGGGTTGGGTTTGGAACACAGTGGGTCTAGCAATTGGGCTGCTAAGCATAAGTCTGGACATTCCAGGGGACAAAGACGAGGCTGTGTGTTCTCATACTGATTTGTAGTCTCAAAAGGCCGAAAGAAAAATTCTACCTCTCTCCTTTAGAGCTGCTATGAGTCAGAGTGTACCAAATCCACCGCTGCTGAGTTGTTTCTGCCTCACGGAGATCTTATGGAACACGCTAGGACTCTCTTTTGGAAAATCTTTAACAGGATCAGACAGTCTCATCTTTCTCCCAAGCTGTGAACGGTGGATTTGAACTCCTGTCCTTTCAGTTAGCATCTCAAAACTGAATCCACTGTGCCACCAAGGGTCTTTTGCTCTCTTTCCCATAAGCCCAGAAGCTAAGCTCACTGCATCACGTCCATTCGCAAGGACTCAGATCTGTTAATATGTGTAACTAGAGGCTTCACCTTTTTCTTTAGATTAAAAATGCCAACCATGTTCTTCTGTTTGGGTTTTCTAACTCTGGGGCTTTGTACATTTCATTACAACCTGTTGTTTTGACTTCTCAAACCGCCCTCTGAGATCTTCTGTTTAGTTCTTTACTTCATAATTTCTTCAATTTCCTTTCAAACAAACACAGTTTTCAGAGTCTCTTCTGATGTACGTTTGCTCTTTTCTTTCTTGCATCTTTAAGGACCGTTTGGTTTTATCATGTATGGTGTGTCCTCGATGCCGTCATTCAACAACTATTCTGGTCTCCAGTGTTCAGTTTGTCAAATCTGGTTTTGAGATCGTCTCTAACCTCACGTGGAATAAAGTCAAAGTTATACACCTTGGTCTGCAAGAGTTGGAAATCTTTGCCTGAAAATATTACAGCCAAAACCAGAAAAACTACACAGGGTGGTTCTACGCCATCACCCGAGGGCCCAGTGAGTTGGAAGTTGACTGGATAGCACTCAACAGCAGCAAGAATAACAGCTGTGGTTGTTATCATTATGATTGCTATCATCAATTCGATGACCAATTCTTGAAGGAACGCTTGAGGTAAATTATATTTAACGTCCCAATCGAGGAGTCTATGACTTGATCAATCCAGTCTTGCAACTTAGATCAAATCAATTAATTGTAATTCATCAGTGTTTGGGATATAGATAGAAAAAATTGGGGGATAAATATTAAAATACAGTATGTCAAAGAGAAAATGTATAGGGGGAGGGAGTGGGTGATAAAATCCTCAATGATTATTCCTCAAGCTGTTTTGCAAGGGATGTAGGACAAAGGACAAAAATTTGTAGCACAGAAAGCTTAGTACTCAAGCAAATTCAGCACTCAGGCAAGATTGCTTTCTGCTTAGTAGCTTAAAGTTTGAGGGGGCAGTTCAGAGTGATAATGGGTCTTACAAGTGCACCAGCACTAAAAATGTAAATTTAAAAATATACGGCGTTCCTCTTTCATAGGTCAAATTACCATTCATTTTATGGTCATCTTCATACTGCCAGATTGAATATATCAAATCATTTGTGTATTTCAGAAAGTGCCTTTTGTGTTTCAAAAGATTTCTTTGTCATTGAAAGAACATTTGAAACAACACAAATAGATGAGCTAAGTTCTTGGCTGCTTGCAAAGAAACAATCGAAATCTATTTCTTCACGAAGCACTCACTTGCAAGTGTAATTGTCAGGATTTTTACATGTGTGTTTGCTTTGTGGTATGTTTGGGTGGGTGCCATCCACTCAGTTCTGACTCATAGTGACCGTAGGTCCAACAGAATGCAACACTGCCCGCGCCTCTTCCATCCTCATAACCATGGTTGTACTCAAGCTGATTCTTGCCGCCACCATATCAGTCCAGCTCCTTGACAGCTTTCCTCTCTCTCGCTGCCACTCGACTGTCCCCGCATGATGTCCGCTACAGGGCCTGTCTCTCCACAACATGTCCAAAGTATGTGAGACACAGTCTCGCCATCCTTGCCTCTAAGGAGCATTCTGGCCGTACTTCTTCCAAGACAGGTTTGTTCTTACGCTTTTCGCAGTTCATGGTACTTTCAATAAAGGTTTGTAACCATTAAAATCTGTTCCAAAAATGTGGTTACAGGGGTGAAAAAAGTCTAATTGGCTTTCTGGATGTCTAGTAAAAAGTGAAATAAGCAATTCCATTCGGCAGCCAAATGAGATATGAAGAATAACTGGCACTATTATGGATACAGATATTTAGAGAGGCAGACAGTTGAGGCGTATAGTTCCCTAACGACAGCTGGGACTCAGACATGTCTAGGGAGATCTGGCTGACCATGGGTGACAGGTTGGAAATCTGGGCATCGCTGAGCTGAGATTTCCTCCTTAGGAAGAAATCTGGTGCAAAGAGTTTGATTTAGGTACAAAAGATGAGCTCTGGAAAGGCAGTAGGCATTGTGAGAATTTGAGGAATAATTTGTACCTAGTTCAGACTTCTGGGTGGACTGTTGAGCCCTGTGAGGAGAAATATTTTAGGTAAAATGGAACAACCTGTGCTCCTACAAGCTCAGTAACACACTAGGGGTCCCACCACACTACTCGGGGTACTTGTTATGGGTTGAATTAGGTCCCCCTCAAAATATGTGATTTAAGTCCTACCTTCGATGTGTGTGGTTCTACCCTCCCTTGAGGATGGGTTGTCTTAGTTCTGGCAACTAAACAGGATTAGAATAGCCAGTGTCTTCATCACTCTCGAGATGGAAAAGACACTAAGCAAATGAGCAAGAGAAGCGGAGATGGGAGACAAGAAACGTCAAGACATATTAGATTGCCCAGAAGCGACAGTTCAGAAGAGATGAGGGCTTTCCTCCAGGGCTGACCCACAGAGAGTCTGTCCCTGGTCTTCTAGCTGCTTTCATGGTCAGAAACGAAATCTCCACTTGTTAGCCACCCACTTGTGTGATTTCGGGTACCACAGCATAGACAGAGTAACACTAGGACTTTCTGCAAGGGACACCCCACGGAGAAAGATAGGTGTTCTCCCCACCTGGCCCCAGGCTGCCACAGAGTGTGCTCATGGTGGGTGGGAGAGGTGGCCCCGTGAAGCCCGGCTGAGCCAGGAAGTGTGGCGAGGAGGGCAGCATGGGCTGATGGACTGGTCTGGACATGATGGGAGGGAGACACACGTGGGACCCCCTTGGCCACTCTGAAATGCTCGGTCCGGAGCGCTTTTCAGAGGTGAATGCTCATTTGAGCATGTTGAGGGGCTGAGCCAGCAAACGGTGGGCCCAGAGACTCAAGGATCTCCTGCACTTTACAGATTCCTAAAGACTGTGGATACCAAGTGCATGCCACATAATACTTCTGGCTGGCCCCAAATCCAAGAAACTTGGCTTCCAATAGAACTGACACCACAACGAGAAGACATGAGGCAAGGAGAACATTGTGAGTGTTTAACCTTATCGTTTTTTCATTCAAATGTGCGCTCATTTAAATTTTTATAATAGCCTTTAACAAACTTCTAGGTCAGTCCCAATTATGTCCTCATCTTAAAAATCTTCACATGTTCTCAGGCACATTTTAACCCAAAAAAGGCATGTCTGGGTTTTTTTGCTTTTGGAAAGCAAAGGAAGGTGTTTTGCCTCTGCCACCAAGAGTAGTGGGGACACCCTCCACTGTGTGCTCTCAGACAGGTTCGTCCCAGTCACTGGTTGGACAAGTGCCTAAACCAAACCAAAAAACCCCAAACCCACTGCCATCAAGCTGATCCTGACTCAGGGTCAGAATCTTCGTGACCCTATAGACGGTTTCTAAAACCACCAATCTTTATGTACAGTTTCTTTGGAGCAGCCAGTAGGCTTGAACCACTGACCTTGTAGTTAGAGCCCAATACCTAAACTACAGTGCCACCTGGACAAGGTGTCTAGGAGAATGAAAAACACTGTTGTCTGGATTGAGAAATGCAGAGTTGAAAAGAAGATTCTCCCTCCCCCCACCCACTTACCGGCACCCACCGCCGCCCCATGGCACGCCTCTCAATTGCTAGTGAGTTGATTTCAGACTCACGCAAGAGGCCCCAGGTGTGTGAGAGGAGGACTACCTTTGAACAACTGTGGCTTCAGAGGAGGGTACTGTGGTTAAGCGCTGGCTGCTAACCAAAAGGTCAGCAGTTCAATCACTCGTGGGGAGAAAGACGTGGCAGCCTGTTTCCACAGAGATACACAGTGTTGGCAACCTGACGGGGCCATTTGACTCTGCTTGATGGGGCCCCTGGGAGTCAGAATCAACTTGACAGGTCCCTTTTTAAATGGATCTTTCAGAAGTAGATCACCAGGCCTTTCTTCCACGGTGCCTCTGGGTGGACACACACCTCTGACTTGGTGGCTCTCAACTGAGCATGCTGTTTCCATTACCCGGAAAGGAAGCTTAGAACTCGCTGACATCATTATTGAGTCTACTCGCTAGGTGAAGAAACGCCAACACATGTAACCTTACGCTTGTCCACAAGCCAGTTAGTGACACGGCGCCACATTTAACGTGGTTCTCATTCCTTCAGGACCCGCTTTCCACCAGCCAGAAGCCTCATAAAACTCCTTCAGACCTCTCCCCAAACATGCCCATGAGCTCAGCTTTCACGCTGTACCTTGGAGGATGCTCTGCACGATAGCCTCCGTGTGACCAGCTAGGAGATCCGCCTTGGTGATTGCAGCCAGGGATAGGTAGTTAGACATGTCCCTGCGCAGTTCCTTGGTGCCTCTGTGCAGAAATTTCACCGCAATGGGGATGGCCAATGTCATCACAGGAGGGCGGTTATAATTCTGCAAAAATAGAAAGAAGGAACAAATAATAAATGACTCATTAGTCACTCATTTGTTCACCCATCTCCCAAATATCAATTGAGCCCAATTCCTCAGGTACAGTTGTGAAGTCTTGGCTCTGCCCTCCTCTCCAGGAGCCTTGGGAGCATGGTGGGTACAACCCTTAACTGCCAATTGAAAGGCCCTGCTCTGCAGCAGAAAGACGTCCAGCAGTTCTCCTCAGTGCTGCAGCGTGGCTCTGAGTCACAAGGGAATGGGCGGCGATGACGGGTTTGGCTTGAGCCCTCTTTACATTGCACTGGGGAACCCGTGGTCTTGTTCGGGAGACCTAACGGCAAACAGGCAATTAGCCAGGTAGTTCTGCTGAGGCCTTTGAGAGGCGAAGTGTAGAATTGTTAAGAGAGTGAAGAAGGAGCACATAATCCAGTCATGGTGAGATAAAGTTCATTGTGCCAACCTGGCCGATAAACACATGTAGGGTTAATTGAAGGGCAGAGAGATAAATGGCTCGGTGAGCCTCGCCTTTCTAGTTCTAGGGTCTCTTGCTTTCTGATGGTCGGACCAGGGTGCAGCTACCTTAGCCAGTTCCCTGCTTCAGCTGGCAAGGCTCACTTCCTGCAAGACATCTCTGAGGAGAAGCCACATGGACCTACCCCGATGCAGCCCTGGGCGCTGGAGCACCCATGTGGAGACCAGCGCTGAGATGCTTACACGTTCACTGATTTGGCTTTCCTCCTGCAGTCAGTGTCATAGTGTGTGTATTGTGAGATGGAGGAGGACTTAGTGGATTGGTATCAGACATATGGGCTAATGTTGGACTTGTGGCTTGGGCAGCACTGAGTTGGGATGTTTTCTTGCTGAACATTACCCTTTATATAAAACGCTCTCTTATACATATGGCTTTCTGTGGGTCGGTTTCTCTAATGTACCCAGATGAACACACATGGCATATCATGGACTTGCAAGTGATGTTTTAGCTGAACCCTAATGGATGAGCAGGTGTGGGGAAGAGAAAGACGGGAGGAAGGGACCGTGGTGAGAGCTGCAGTTGTGAGACTGTAAATCACTTCGTTTTGTGGGAGCTCTGTCTGTGTGGGCAAGGAGGACTGGGGGTGAGGAAAGGGACCAGAGAAGTCCACAGGGGGCATGCTGGTGACAGTCTTGAAGAGTGCTTATTTTCCCACCCATAGGTGTCTCCAGACTTCAGGGTCCATAGCAGATGTTCTACAGACATCTGCCAAATTGAAAGCCAATGACGAAGACAATTCGGCTGCCCAGTTGCATCAGGAACATAATGGGGTGGGAAGAGCATTGGACGGAAAAAGGAGGACCCCTGGATTCTAATCTCATCCTTTTGCTAGGGAATCATGAAAATGTCTACCCTGGCTGGGTCTCAGTTTTGTCACCGATACACGTGATGATTGTCATCCTTTCCAGGTCAAATGGTCTGTGAGATTATAAAGTAGGGCCCCAGGAAGCCGTGAAATCAAGCATCTGGCACAGGAATGCTTTCTGCGATACCGAGAGGTTCATGGTACCACAAACATTCTTGCAAAGAGGTTCACGTCCTCAGAACAGATGTCTAGATTTAAGGCAGTCCAAGTACAGGTTTGCCTGTATAAAACTGAGACCACTGATGACAAACCTAGAATGGAGAAACAAATATTATGGTCGAAATTAGCAGCTGTCCACCAGTGAAGGTTTGCCTCTCCCTTTATTGACTTCTTCAGTTTTGTCTGGGATATGACCTGAGCTCCAGTCTTCTTTGCGATTGAAGGTGGCCAGAAGTAATGTGCTCAGTGTCCTGGTTACCGTGACCATGTAGGGCTTGCCCTTCTCCTGCTCTTCCTTGTGTGCTGCCCGTTGGAATTCGGATTTGGTACCAAAGTTTGGAACAGTCATCTTAGATCTGGGTCAGCAAATTTTTGTGGCATAAGCGCCCATCCTGTCCCTCACAACAATTTAAAAAAAAATTCAAGAGCCCTAAGTATATGTTTACAAACAAATGAAATCACCGCTGGCAATGGAATTGGGATAGTTTTATTTTCATCTTTAATTTTAATTCAGAGCCACATGTACGTACCGAAAGAGCCACATATGATTGGTGAACCGCAGGTCGCCAACCCATCACATAGACCAGCAGTTCTCAACCTGTGGGTTGCCACCCCTTTGGAGGTCAAATGACCCTTTCACAGGGATCGCCTAAGACCATCAGAAAACACATATTTTTGATGGTCTTAGGAACTGAGACGCCGCTCCTCTATCTGTCTCCAGGCCGATCCACCCACATGCAGACATGCCCACATAGGAGTGCCCAGCACAAAGATTGTTCCCCATGCTACACCATGCTTCAAAAAAAATTTCATTTATTTGTCATTAGAAATACATATTTCGCAATATATAATTATATATTGTTTTTGTGATTAGTCACTAAGCTTTAATTATGTTCAATTTGTAACAATGAAAATACATCCTGCATATCAGATGATTCATAACAGTAGCAAAATTACAGTTATGAAGTAGCAACGAAAATAATGTTATGGTTGGGGGTCACCACCACATGAGGAACTGTATTAAAGGGTCATGGCCTTAGGAAGGTGGAGAACCGCTGTCATTAACCATGGGTTTCAAACCATGTGCTGAGTAACACAGAAGATGAAAAAGAAACAAGATACTATAGGGCAGCATATCAGCCCCGAATTATTTATTCTCGAATTTTTATATGACAGACACATAAAATTCTGTGATATGTAACCCACTGCTACATTTCGGTCTTTGTCATAGTAGTTGAGACGGTATCATTACTGACACAACGTAAAGCCAGGAGCTTCCTTCTTTAACTGTTCCCCGTACTTTAAAGAGCAGGCTCAAGACGGAAAGATATGCAGAATTCCACCTTCCGTATTAACCTGTAGAATACTTTGAACCATGCAATAAAGACAAAGCAAAGACATGAGGGAAAACTGTCATTGATACATAGGGCCTTGGAGCAAAATCTTGCTCCCTAAACAACGGTCAATGAAACGCTGCTGGAGCCATGGGGTAAGCAGCAGGGTGCTAAGCGCTAGGTCAGGTGCTGGTTGGGAGAAAGGTAACCTGAGGACAGTTCTGCTAGGGCAGGTAGGTTCTCTATGGTCAGAAACGACTCGATGGCAGTGGGTTTGGTTTTCAGTTTTTTAACAATGGGATAGTTGGGCCAACCGTACATCCATATGGGAGAAAAAACGTACCTAGACTCCTATGTCTGGAATAACAAAAATCAATTCCAGAGAGGCTGCAGATCCAAATGTGAAAAACTAAATAATAAGGCATATAGAACAAAACGCAGTTGAATGTCTTAATGACCACTGAGACAGAAAGGGTTTTTGGAAACAGACTGAAGAAGGGTTAACCATAAAGGAAAACAAAACACAACAACAAAACAGCTTATAAAGTGGAACTGTATAAAGTTAGGAACTTCCAATTGGAAGATACCACTCAGAAAGTAAAGAAATAATCCAAAGAGTAGGAAAAAGATATTGTTATTACATTTATCCAGGAAAGGACTACTAGTACTCAGAATACATAAAGAATTCCTCTAAACCAGATTTAGCCAACCAAGTAGAAAAATGAGCAAAGGACTTACACAGATACTTTATAAGAAGGTATCAAAACAACTTCCAAAAAAGAAAATATGCTAGCTTTCATTACTCAATTATATTGGTTGAGGTTCTGATTACAAGACTGTGTTTAGTGGGTTAGAATTCCTCAGGCTCTGATACATGCACTTTTCTGATATAGGGGGAGGTTTAAAAAGCTCATGAAAAAAAATAGTATCAAAAAAGATGTACACTTGTACAGATAAGAACCGGAAATGGAATCCAGGACAGATGATCCCTTCAGGACCAGTGGTGAGAGTGGCAATATGGGGAGGGTGGAGGGAAGGTGGGGTAGAAAGGTGGAACCTACTATAAGGAGCTACATATAACCTCATTCCTGGGGGACGGACAATAGAAAGGTGGGTGAAGGGAGACATCAGGTAGTGTAAGATATGACAAAATAATAATAATTTATAAATTATCAAGGGTTCATGAGGGAAGGAGGGTGGGGAGGGAGGGGAAAATATGAGGAGCTGATACCAAAGGATCAAGTAGAAAGCAAATGTTTTAGGAATGATGAGGGCAACAAATGTACAAATGTGCTTGACATACAATGGATGGATGGATGGATTGTGATAAGAGTTGTACGAGCCCCCAATAAAATGATTTTTTAAAAATGGGAATTTCCCATGATATTTCTGAAGCCCCTTCGAGGATATAGTAACACAAATCCAGATTTCAGCTATCCTTTGAAGTGAACTTGAAAGTTAGTATGAATACAGTCTTGTATACGATATGCAAGTGTGTACAATACCTGCCCCAGGGTTTTGGGAATGACAATGACGTACAATGAGGCCATAGGCCCAGCATAGTCAAAAGTGCTATATACGGCAGTGGCAGTGTGAGGGAGATGACTTCTCTATTCACACTAAGTGAGGGATGGTAAAATCAATATGATGGGATACCTGAGGCAACTGTACTTTCCCCATTTTTAATATTCTCCAAATGCTTAGAGTTTAATGCTTTCGAATCCTTTTCTCAGGTTCAAGGATCCATCTGGACCATGAACTGTATGTAGTAAATGGGATTTCACAACTGCATTTGGTAGCCCACCATGAAGGTTGAACATTCTGACCCCATTCCTTGATGGCAACCATGTGCCGATACAGCAGTTGCACTTACGAGGTCCTGTCCTTGGAGCGTTTCTAACATCACCTCACCATGAACGTGGCCTGAGCCACACTCCTCTGATGCTAAGCTTTGCATTTGTCTGGACCATCTACTCCTTGCTGGTGACTTTAACTGGGTCTGACTGAACTAAGCCATTACTGATATGATGAGCTATGAGGCTGGCCCTCTGCTTTAGAAGCCTGAACTTGTCCTTGGTCAGGCCACACAGAAATGTTTGGGTCCGTGGCAGGT